CATTAGATTCCCGAAGGTAGGATTTCTTTGAAAATATATATATATATACATATAAGAAAGCCTCCAATCAAGTCCGGCCGATAAGGTCAATAGGTCGTGAAACGCGATCTAGTACCACTCTGATTACACCTTATCACATTGATATCTGCCTCGAGATATAAAATTCAACTAGCCAACGTATTACAAAGAATTTGACCATGTAAATCGTAGCTCGTAGCATTTGAGCAGTCATGAAGTCTGTTACAAATTTTTGCCATAGTCGTAGCGGCCGCCCTTTGACCTTGTGACGTAGCACAGGTCACAGAGATTACTACGCGATACCGATAACGAAGCTTCGCACTTGATCGTCAAATGTCAGTGACACCACGCGACCCTGAGTTGTAGCTATATTCATAAAGCGTAGAAAAATACAATTTGCTATTACCAAAGGGCAAAATAGGCCAATTAGAAACGTAAAAATGTTGAGCGTTCATTAAAATATTATATAGAATATTTGGCGTGGTAGCCGCCCTTCGCCGATGGCCGCGACAACAGGGAAAGTATAAGCTTTCAATATACCAAAAAGGGTAATGGCACACGTTGCGGCGATCCGGGGGAAATACGATCGAGAATACCGATATGCGCGTATACACGTAATGAAATCACAGACGCAAAGCCAAATGGATGGCAGCACGCAGAAGCAGCCAGAAGAACTCAATCCCGGGTATCACGTGACCGGAGGCAATGATGAAATTTCGAGCTCTCCAAACTTTAGTCTACATTTTGGAGCTCGGACTTTCTCCGCGTGATATACTTGGCAATCAGTGATAATTAAATGTCAGTATAATATTTTCATACACAATGCCTATGTACAGGGGATAAATATGTCTGTACCGATATTGCGCACGTGTACCCGGCTATATGTATAATACATTACGTCTTAAGCCCTGGATGTTTTATGGACAAGTAGCGATTGCCGCAATCAATACGGACGCAACGATAAATAACAAATGTTTCGGCGTGAAACGGGCTTTAACCTCCAAAACGCCTGTATCCGCGATCACGGGGATAAAGTCAACCGCGCGGGAGACACGGTGGCTATTATCGATTTTACAAAAATCGTGCCACTGAAAAGATGGGAAATCGATATTTTGGATATTCGATGGATAGTCAAAAAAATGTTTTTTTTTCATCCTCCGCGTTTCAGGCCAGTCGAAAGGCGTCGGGTTCGTCGATTCCAATCGTCACGGCCACGCGTAAGGATTTTCGAGGAAAAAAAAAATATGAAGAAAAAATTAAAAATTTGTACTTTCGGGTAATCGCGAGGAATTACAGTTTCTGGCCGATTCTCGGCCGACCTGTGCGCCGGGTCTGAACCAAGGACTCTGGCCCTTCGTGTTCCTTGTCGTGCGAGTGATTGTCCGATTCTCCCGTATCGAAGACGTTATCCCGGCCGAGACCCTCCGTGAAATCTCGGGATGCTGCGTCCGGGTAATCACCAATAATTACAGGGTTATTATAATTAAAGGTATTACTCTGGCCGAAGCACTAATGCCTGGTGATAAATAAAGATCAGCGCTAATCTCGCCACTAATGAGGACCCTTTTTGTCTTGTAGTTTGCCCAACGCGGAAGAGAGACGGCATTCGGAAATTGTTCCTCCTTTCGTGAAATTAATTTTGGCCTTAAGTGGGCAGCCTCCCTGATACCCAGAAGTCCCGAGGATGTAAGGAGGGATCTTTGAAGATGCGACATTGGGAATTCCTTTCAAACCGGAAATCCTTGCGTTCCCATTAAGTCCCGCAAATAATCGGAAACCGCGAGAGCTTTCAAACGGGAAAGCTCCACTCCAAAAAAGAAGCATGACGACTCGTTCCAAGGAAAACGCGCATCCCCGAAAGTCTCGTGAAACAAAATTCAAAGTTTACAGATACGAAAACCAAAAATTTAGACCCTCTGTCCGGACATGCGCGACCATTGAAAAAAAAAGAAAAAAAAATGAACACCGCCGAAATATAAAAAAAAAATTCCCCAAAATTCGATATAAGAATAAAAAAGGGTAAAAACGCGAAAGAATCAAAGATTTTCGTTCGCGATCAAGACAATAACGAAGATTGTCGCTCGACAAATTTGCCAGTCGTTTTTTTTAGGATCTTCAAAAAAAAAAAAAAATTCAACAGGGACCTTATATCCTAACACCCCGTCGACAGAGAATACAAAGGACGATCCTTCGAAAGTGCCTAATCTCGCCTACTGATAATATCCAGCTTTACTGTTTTCCCTTTCATCTCCTTGAGGATCCCGAACAAGGCTACGGTAATAGGAAAGGAGTTCAATAAGGATCCGATTTGCGCAGCTGCTTGCAGCGCGCTTTAATTTCACGGGGAAAAACTAAACTTTCCCGTAATCCCCATTCAAGTGAAGATTTACCCGCGCCTATTCAAAAGGCATTACGTGGAAGCACGCGGGTACCGTCCGTCGGCTGGGCCCCACGCGTTACAAAGATTTCCCGGCTAAACTTTTGAAAGCTGCCTTAATCCGCGACCGAACACCCCCCTGCTGCCCCTGATCACGCGACGCCTCGTATACCACACGAGAATATCGACACTGAAAAGCTTCAAACGTCTATTAAAAGCCGCGCGAAGTTGCTCCTAGGTCAGATGGCGCTGCCGGCGCTCTGTGTAAACGATCGACGGGAAAACTTTTCCAGCCGACTAGTGGAGGATCGATTGGAAGGGGAGGAAGAGTGGCATTCAATTTTCCTAGTGGGATAAAGAGAGAATAAGAGAGAGAGAGAGAGAGAGA